CCTCCTTCCACACCCACCTCACACCTCCTTCCACACCCACCTCACACTCACCTTCCACACCCACCTTTCTCCTCCTTCCACACCCACCTCATGCTCTCATCCTTCCACATCCACCTCACACACCTCCTTCCACACCCACCTCACACTTACCTCCTTTCACACCCACGTCTCACACACCTCCTTCCACCCTCCACATTCCCGTCAGAAGCACCCTCTCTTGTCTCCCCAGCCTTTCTGGCTCTCTTTTCTCTTTCTCATCTCATTTGTCCCGCACGTGCGTTTTGAGGGTGGCTTTCTCTACAGCCGAAAGCACCTGCTCATCAGATGGTCCTTCAGAGCGGAAGTGCAGGTGTCATGGTGCCGTTCTTTGAAGTAGACACCACCTGTCCTTTCGAGAGGGTTGGCGTTTCCCCATTGCCTTCCCCATCGACAGCTCCAGGCAGAGCCGGGTCCTGCCCTTCCTTCCGGTGTCGTGGCTGCCCTGGGCTCCTGCCCTGCCTGGCACCATCCCCTGACTCCTGTCCTGTGCTCTCTCTGCAGGACTTTGGGAAGTGCCCGCGACTGAGGCTGTTTACTCAGGAGTACATCCTTGCCTTGAACGAGCTCAACGCGGGGATGGAAGTGGTGAAGAAGTTCATTCAGAGGTGGGTCTTCAGCGCGACGCCCCTCTTTAGCCTCGGAGCCACTTTCTTCTCTGATCCTGTTTCCTCAGATATCCCTGGGGGGCTGTTGTGTAATTAAATGAAGACTCCCTCTATGAGGAAGCCCCTAGCCCACTGCACGGTGCCCGATAGGAGCTCAGAAAATGGCAGTGGGCCTCAGCAACACTACTGTTTCCTCAGGTCCCACGACCCCTCGGGCTGTGGGCGCCATGTGTTTAGGACTCACGCCCACCCCTGGTGGTCCCAGAGCATCGACGGGCGCTTGAACAGTCACCCCTAAAACATAACCCACAGGAAGCCAAATATTCTTGCTCCTCACTCACTTTTGGTACTTGGGGTTGGTGTGTTGGTTTTGGTTTTTTTTTTTTTTTTGAAGGAGGCTTGTTTTTGCTTTTTATTTTAATTTTAAATTTTCTCTCCGTGCTCCAGTTTCCTCATCTGTAACACAAGAACCATAGTACCCATCGCCCAGTTAGTGCGATGCTCCAGTGATTAGTAGACACAATACACAGAGAACGCTGCAGAAGTCTCGTGTCAGGCCAAGCTGCCATCGTTCTTGTTCTTCTCATCTTTTTTGTTTGTTTTGAGATGGAGTCTCGCTCTGTCACCCAGGCTGGAGTGCAGTGGCTCGATCTCGGCTCACTGCAACCTTCGGCTCCCGGGTTCAAGCAATTCTCCTGCCTCAGCCTCCCAAGTAGCTGGGATTGCAGGCACATGTTAGCATGCCTGGCTAATTTTTGTATTTTTAGTAGAGACAGGGTTTCACCGTGTTGGCCAGGCTGGTCTCGAACTCCTGACCTCAGGAGATCCACCTACATCGGCCTCCTAAAGTGCTGGGATTACAGGCGTGAGCCACTGCCCCCAGACTCTTCTCATCTTTTAAGAAAACCACAATAACCCATTTAAACAAGTTCTGAAACTACACATTTCCTAAATATGCTCACCTGGAACTCACGAAGCCGTTTGTGGGTGGCTTTGTGACATGCCCTCAGGCCAGAGCCCTGGTGACACCACCCAGCTGTAGTTTGCAATATCTTGTCAGGTTAGGCCATTCTTAGTGACAGCAGCCTTGATGGCAACTTCCCAGAAATGGTACAGCTGTTATCCTTAGGACCACAAAAATAGCCATGACAAGTAATAATTAGTGGCACTTATTGAGGACTTATTGACTATGCTGCTGACTCTATGCTAAGCCGAAATGACCCTCATCGTTTTTCTTCCAAAGCAGGACATGTTTGAAAGTAGAATGAGGTGTTAGGGATAATTATTCCTGAACCACTAGGTGTAAGCATGACTGTCCCAGTACATATGGCCACCATTTGCTAGGTCTGTCCATGAATTAGAAAAGCTGGTCCTAACTGTACCCCCCAAGGAGGTGGCCGCTGTCCTCATTTTATAGCTGCAGAAACAGAGTGGAGAGTTTAGGAGGTTTCCAAGGCCACTCGGGTTTGAACCCAGGAACCCTGGATCTGGAGTGCACAGCCGGGAGCTTTGCCTTCTGCTGCCTGCACGTGGCACAGACAGGACCCAAATCCTGGTGCCACCAATTGCACAGCAAAGGCTCTCAGAGCCCCCCAAGCGGTGCTGGCAGAGTGGGCAGTCCTGTACCTGAGCAGTGGCCCTCCCTTGTCCCCTTTCCCCTGTCTGTGGGCCTCACTCCTGCAGGCTTCTCACCCCGGCCCTCTGCTTTTTTCCAGCATGCACGGCCCCACAGGGCATTGCCCCCACCCCCGGGTCCTGCCCAACCTGGTGGCCGTGTGCCTGGCTGCCATCTACTCCTGCTATGAAGAGTTCATCAACAGGTCAGTTGCTGAACCACTGCCACCCAGAGGGCTTGGGAGGGGCAAACTGTCATCCCCATCATGGGCAAAGTCACCAAGAACTGACCAGGCCGGAGAGGTGGAGTAGCTGTTTACTGGGCAGACTTCACGGTGTATTTGCCAGTTCCCCTGGGCCCAGAACCCAGGGATGCTGCTGAAGAAGCAAGCACTGAATCAGCACCGCAACTGCAAGGCTGTTAGAGCTGCTTGGCTTTAGGGACAGATGTTTTATGCTGAAGATCTCTCACTACTGGAGAGGTATGACACACTGGTGTGTGTGTGAATGTGTGCACATGGGTATACAAATGCATGTGTGAACTGTACACATACACGTGACTGTGTGTACGTGTGTGCACATGGAGGTGTGAATATGTGCCCCTTTTTGGGGACAAGGGTTGACAGTAAGGTTTAGCCTGTCTGGTCTTGCCTTTGAGAACACAGGCTTTTGCCCATGATTTGCATGGTTTTATTTTTTCGATACAGGGTCTCACTCTGTCACTTAGGCTGTGCTGGAATACAGTGGTGCAGTCATAGCTCACTGCAGCCTCAAACTCCTGGACTCAAGCAGTCCTCCCACCTCAGCCTCCCAAGTAGCTAGGACCACAGGCACATGCCACCACTCGTGGCTAATATTTAAAATTTTTTTTATAAAGACAGGATCTTGCTATGTTACCCAGGCTGGCCTCAAACTCCTGGGCTTAAGCAGTCTTCCCACTTTGACCTCCCAGAATGCTGAGGTTACAGGCGTGAACCACTGCACCTGTTTTTCTTGAGCGCCTGCCGTGTGCTTGACACAATTTCAGTGCTAGAGAGCGAGCAAGATCACAAATTCCCTGCTCTTTTCGGGCTTCCATTCTACCAGGAAGAGATCATGTACAAGTAAATGTGCAAGATCATGTCAGAGGGTAAGAAAAACCGTGCGAGCAATAAAACCGAGTGGTGGGGTAGCAAGTGACCGGAAGAGGTGAGGCAGGGTCTCCGCCTGGCTTTGGAGCCTCCAAAAGGAAACTCCAAGACCAGCATTTGGGTGGAAGTGGCTTCCTAGGAAGATGGTCCCAGGAAACACTGGGGGACAGGGAAGGAAGGACAGCAGTAAAATATGAATTAATAAGCAGATGAGGCTGGGTGCGGTGGCTCACACCTGTAATCCCAGCACTTTGGGAGGCCAAGGCAGGCAGATCACTTGAGGTCAGGAGTTTGAGTCCAGCCTGGCCAATGTGGTGAAACCCCGTCTCTACTAAAAAAATACAAAAATTGGCCGGGCGTGGTGGCACATGACTGTACTCAGCTACTCAGGAGGCTGAGGCAGGAGAATAGCTTGAACCTGGGAGGCAGAGGTTGCAGTGAGCCAAGATCATACCACTGCACTCCAACCTGGGCAACAGAGTGAGACTTCTTCTCAAAAATAAATAAATAAATAAGCAAGCAAGCAATCAGGTGACCACTTCAGGCAGCTGGCATGCACTCCCACTGTGCCCCAGGAGGCCATGCGGAGCACACTGAGAATTGCTGTGCTGAGAGTTGCTCAGCCGAGGCTGGCTGTGCTGGGGGTCACTCACCAGCTCCCATCCCTCGCTGGCTGAGAACTGCTCCCAGGATGCAGACTGATGCAGATGCCATTACTTTATGGGGAACTTTCTGCAGTGACCTCTGGTGTCATTGGAGGGGATGTGACATGCAGAACGCAGTGGTCTCTGCTGCAGCCACCCAGTTGTTCAGGTGGTACACTGCACAACTCTAAGGAGACCAACATGAGTCCAGACCCCGCCAGAGCTAGGGTACGGCAGGAGGGTATTTCAGTCTTTTCTCAAAACGAAGGCGGTAGAGCATTCCGAGTCGCTGAAAACCTGGCAGGGGGAGCTTCTCAAACAAATGCCATACTGCTGAGATCTTGGGAAGGGACAGGAAAAGGCATTTGATAAATCAGGGGCTGCTTCCTTGCAGCAGGCCATGAGAGAGGGTCACTGTTTTAATGCCTTCAGCCTCAGGTCCCGATGTTCAAAGGGGACCATGTCCCACCTTGAATCACTTCCCTGATGAGAAAGAAGTACAGGGACTCCAGGGGCCAGAATGTGGAGATGGGAGGCTGCTCATTCCCAAGGGCTTGTTCTGGAGCTGACAACACGGTAAGGCAAAAAGAGGAGAAAACGGAAGCCAAAGGGTAGTGCCAGGCCTTCACTTTTTACATTTTTAGTAGAGACGGGGTTTCACCATGTTAGCCAGGATGGTGTCAATCTCCTGACCTCGTGATCTGCCCACCTTGGCCTCCCAAAGTGCTGGGATTACAGGCATGAGCCACCGCGCCTGGCCTACAGTATTTAAGTTATACCCAGAGTGTGCGGGAGCCAGCTCACCCATTTCTTTTGGGAACATGTCCCTTCCAAGTTCTATAATGATATCATATCGGTAGCTTGAAGTAGCTGTGGTGGGAGTATTTACACAAAAGAAATTGGTAAGCACTGCAAATCAGGGCTTCTTCCTTTTTTTGAGACAGAGCTTCGCTCTTGTCGCCCAGGCTGGAATGCAGTGGCACAATCTTGGCTCGCTGCAGCCTCCACCTCCTGGGTTCAAGCGATTCTCCTGCCTCAGCTTCCTGAGTAGCTGGGATTACAGGTGTGGGCCACCACACCTGGCTAATCTTTGTATTTTTGGTAGAGATGGGGTTTTACTTTGTTGGCTAGGCTGGTCTCGAACTCCTGACCTCAAGTGATCTGCCCGCCTCGGCTTCCCAAAGTGCTGGAATTACAGGCGTGAGCCATTGCGCCCAGCCAGATCAGGGCTTCTTTCTTTGGAGAGTTGGTTGTTAGACATTTACCAGCGTACCTTGGGTTATATCTCAGGTTTTTTTAAAAAAAAGAAACAAAAGGGTGCCCAGGACCCTCCCAGTGCCATTCTGATTTAATTAGGATGGCCCTGGCATCTGTTTTTGGAAGGAGCCTCAGGGAGGTGATATTTACGTTGATACCTCCTGGCTGTTCTCCAGGTAAGAAGCAGGAAGAAGGTGACCCAGGGAGAGAACCACACGGGCAGAGGCCTGGCAGTGATGGGTAAAGGTGCCATTGGTCACAATGATTTTGTTTTTGTTTTTTGGATTTTTTTGGAAACGGTTTCACTCTGTCACCCAAGCTGGAGTGCAGTGGCGCAATCTCTGCTCACTGCAACCTCTGCATCCTGTCTTGAAGCAATTTTCATGCCTCAGCCACCCAAATAGCTGGGATTACAGGTGTGCACCACCACACCTGGCTAATTTTTATTTTATTTTATTTTATTTTATTTTATTTATTTATTTGTATTTTTAGTAGAGATGGGATTTTGCCATGTTGGCCAGACTGGTGTCAAACTCCTGGCCTCAAGTGAAATTCCCCCCTCAGCCTCCAAAAGTGCTGGGATTACAGGGGTGAGCCACCGTGCCCGTCTACAATGTTTTTGTATCTATGGGTCCTTGAACCACTACTTCAGAATCACCTGGACTTCTTTAAAATAGATTCCTGGCTGCAGTATTTCTGGAGTATGGCCCAGGAGTCTGCATTCTAAACAAACTGCACAAGTCATTCTGCTGCACGCTGAATGTGGAGGTCCCTGCGGGGGAGGAGCCAAAGGAAATCCAGTGTGACTGGAGCAGAGAGAAGGAAAGGGAAGCAAAAGATGGAGTTGGAGAGAGAAGCAGCGCTGGGCCATGAGTAGGCAGCTTCTCACACCTCCTAGTGCCTGGGACTCTCTAGGGCTTGGCATTAAAATGAAGATTCGGATTCAGCAGGTCTGGGGCAGGACCTGAGACTCTGCTTGTGTCACAAGCTCTCAGGCGAAGCTGTGGGCTGGGGATCACACTGTAAGTAGCGGGGCTGTCCTGGGTTTCAGTGGCAGAACTTTTATCCTGGGAGCGTTGGAGAGTCCATAGTGGGTTGTAAGTGGAGAAGGGACGTGATGGGATTTCAGTTCCATTCCCCTCTGGCTGCTGCTGTGAGGAGGATGGAGTAGGGGGCAGATGTGACCCTGGGGAACTGTTAGGTGGCTGTGGCAAGGAGATGCCAGGTTGGAGGCTGGCGAGGGTGAGACAATGCCTGCTGCCTCCCACCCACCCTGGCTCAGCCATGCTGAGCCCCCTCAGAGCCCACGTTAGCTTGGGTTCCAGCTGATGCCATAAGTTTCCTGGATGTCACCCAGAGAAGCACGATACTGCCAACATGTTTCTTGGGCTCAGGTCCATGACGCCCCCTCAGTCAGTCCCTTCAAGATAAAGCCTGTCATGTCCTCCAGGCCATCCACAGTGCTCTTTGTGGGCAAATGTACACAATGTGCTCACACTGAAAAGAACAGACAGCTTGACCCAGGTTAGCGTGGCTCTCTCGAAAATCACCAATCTGAGCCAAACAGCCTTGAAAATCCACTTTTAAAACCCGGCAAAGGCAAACAAAGAGAAATGGAGTGTTGAGCACTTGGGGAGCAAATCAGATCTGAACCAAAGAATTTAGGTCTCTCCCCATCACAGACCACACACAAGTTTTTATCAACGATAGAATTCTCGGACTTCAGCCGGCGGATTATTTGTCCCAGCAAAGCTGAAAGTATATTTATAAAACACCCTTGGTGGGCTCAGCTCGGGCCTGGTTTCTGGCATGTGCTGGATCCACTCAGACCCTTCCTGTGCATGGGGCTCAAGTTCTGCACACAGCCCTTGGAAGGGCTACTCACAGGCTCCCTCCCACCCCTTCCCCCAGCCACAGCAATTCCCCAAGCAGAATGTCTGCAGTGTGGCTCTGTCCTCAAGCCTGGGAGCCCCTTTAGAGGCACAGGATCCATGCCTGTGACACATCTGGGGAAGGACTAGATAAGCAGCTGTTCTCAATCATGCCATTGTGCTCGAAGTCTTGGATTAGTGGATCTCAACCTTGACCACACACATGAGGAACCTTAAAAATTGCTCATGTCCAGGTCCCACGCTGGAGATTCCTGTCTAACTGGGGTTTGGGATGTTTAGAAGTATACCCGGGGGATCCTGGTGTCCAGCCAGGGGTGGAAAGCTTTGGTTTAGGAGGAGTTCGAGGGTAGGAAGGGCAAGAGTAGCAGGAAGAAATCAAGGAAGACTTCCTGGAGGAGGGGACCTGCACAGATCTTAGGGGACCTTGGAAGCCAACCTAGTTAGAAGGATCCTGGGCTTTGGGGTCCGGGAGATCTGGTTTCAAATCCCATCTCCATCAACTCATGGGCTGTTTAATTAGGGGTAGATCATTTAACTTCTGAGACTGTCTTTCCTCGCCTGTGGCACAGAGACAGGAATCACTGTTCAGTGATGTCTGTGAGCATCTGTATGACTGCACTTAGCACTGTGCCGGCCATGGGCTCCAGCAGAGGAACCCGTTGATGGTACTACTGTCCCTTACAACAATGCACCTCCCAGGCAACTGGGCACCTTGGGAAGCACTCAGTCAGAGGAGGGACTTTAACCAGGTCAAGGCTCTGACAGGTCCTGCCGTTAAGAGGCCTAGTGTCATCTCGTTTGCCCCAGCATTTCCCTAACAAATGTGAGATTAATAATGCCATAGAGCCCCTTTCTGAGTTAGCACCTGTTAACACTTGTGCAGGCTTCTGTTCCTCCGAGCAGTCAGAGATGCTGTGCCTGGAAGGTTACCCAGGAGGAGTGGGGGTTCTGCAGACAGGAGGGCTAGACTCCGGGGCCCAGGCTGGAATTCTGGGGTTTGGGATCCCATTGACGTGGGTTCCCAGGAGGGCAGATACTGAGCTTGCTCACTTGGCTGGGTTTGGGGGCAGGAGAGCAGAGTCCTGGAGGACATTGTGAGGTCAGGGATTGGAGGATAGTTAAACCGCAGGAAGCAACTAAAAGCAAAATAGTAGATCCCGTTGGCTTATCAAGAAAGTGGCCAGTGGTGTTTTGGTGGAGAATGCCAAGAGCCTTATGGCTGTCATGTAGAGATCAGCATCCATTCAGTCGGTCAGCAAAGGTTTATTGAGCGCCTGTTATGTGCTGAAGTGACAGCATGGACTGTAGAGACAGGCAACCTGGGTTGGGCTGCCATCCCCACCTCTTCCTGTCTAGACCTTGGGCAAGCTGCGGACCCAGGCTGAGCCTCAGTTTCCTCATTTCTAGCACAGGGATGATGATAGTATTACATTGTGGCCTCATCCTGGGATTCAGGAAGGCCTTTAGCCTGGTGGGTCATGGTGCATCATGAACGGTGCCTGTACTCATGTGCCCTCTCCCGCCTCTTCCCCCAGCCGCGACAATTCCCCAAGCCTGAAGGAAATCCGGAATGGCTGCCAGCAGCCGTGCGACCGGAAGCCCACTTTACCTCTGCGCCTTCTGCACCCCAGCCCGGACCTGGTGTCTCAGGAAGCCACGCTGTCTGAGGCCCGGCTCAAGTCGGTGGTCGTGGCCTCCAGTGAGATCCACGTGGAGGTGGAACGCACCAGCACTGCCAAGCCGGCGCTGACAGCCAGCGCGGGCAACGACAGCGAGCCCAACCTCATCGACTGCCTCATGGTCAGCCCCGCCTGCAGCACCATGAGCATCGAGCTGGGCCCCCAGGCCGACCGCACGCTCGGCTGCTACGTGGAAATCCTCAAGCTGCTGTGAGTGCTCCCCGCGTGCGCGCCCCCAGGCCGGGCGGGAGGAGAATGGGCTTTGCTGCTGGGTGCGGCTGTGTGTGTTGGTTCAAACTACGCAGGTAGAGTGGTGTGTGTGTGAGTGCACACGAGCTGGTGTGTGCAAGAGTGTGCATAAGCACAAATGTGGCTGTGAGTACAGGCATACAGGGTGCATATGTACAGGTGGGTGAGGGACACGTGGGTGTGTGCACAGGTGGCTATGGTTGTATATCTGTGAACATATGGTGTGTGTATACACACACGTGGGGTGCATGCATGGCTTTGTACCTGTATGCTTGAGTGCCTGGGCACATGTGTAAGGTACATGCCCAAGCATACATGTGTACATACGTCTGCACGAGTTTGTGTGTGTGTGAGGATCTGGATACATCTGCCAGGGTGTGCAGGAGCACAAGGGTTCCCAAGTGTGTCTGTGAGTATGTGGACATCTCTGGTGTGTTGGGTGTGTGGGATCCTCTGAGCTTGTGAGTGTCTTTGTGTGCGTGAATGGCCATGGGTGGATGTGGGTGCGATGGCACACGTGGTCTGCTGAGTGTGGGTGTTTATAGGAGATGGGTGTGGGCATGCATGTGAATTTCTCTGTAGGGGTGTGTGTGTGTGTGAAATGCACAAGAGTGGGTATGTCTACTCACTTGTGCTAGTTTTGTGCACGAGTGGCTGTGGCTGCATGCATGTGGGTATAACCATTTGTGCTCTAGGGTTGGAGAGCATGTGTGTTTCTCTGTATATGTTTGCAGGTATGTGCATGAGCCCATGTGTGTTTGTATTGTGTGAGCCGTGTATGCCGTGTGTCTTTGGGGTGTGAGCATCTGTGCATATGTGTGTGTCTGAGTGAGTGAGGGGTCATGGGCAGGAGTGTGTGAGTCTGTCTTGGGTGTGTGGCTCTGCGTATTTGTGCCGTGTGCCTGGGTGTCTGTGTGCGCACATTGGTGTTGCGTGTGCCTGTGTGTGGGTGTAGGAGACCCGTGGACCCGGGGCTGCCCTGAGTGGTGTGGCTTCTGAGCTGGCTCCTTCTGTGCCTGTCCCTCCCGCTCCCTGAACCTCAGTTGTGTGACTAAGGTAGAGGGGAGTACAGTTCTTAATCCGTGACCCCTAAAGGTCTCTCCAGCCTTGTCATCCACACGTTCCACCTGACACATCTCAAACCCGTGAGCACCTGGTTCCAGGAGCCCCAGTTTGAGGGACCTCATTGACTGTTCCCTTCTGCCCCCCACAGAGCCATGTGGTTCCACAGACAAGCTCAGGTCTGCAGACACTCGGCAGACACCTCCTGCTTGCTCGCTCCACAAACTCCTTCCTTCGGAACAGGCTCTGCGCCACTCTCAGGAGCTTGGAATCCAGAGATGGGCGTTTTCCGATGCAGCTGCTTGTGGTTGCTGGACTTTTCGGAGGGGTTGGGGGTCCAGCTGTGTTGTCACATTTATCCAGTGCATGCTGCCTGTCTAGAACCAGGGCTCCCGGGGCCCTCAGCCTGCAGGGAGACCGCTTGGCAGCCCGGTGCCTGGGGTGTTGTCTGTGTGGGTGGGCGGGGTTTCCCTGAGGCCCTGTGTCGTCACGCGGCTGGGCAGCGTTTGTTCATTCTGTCATGTGTGTGTTGCTCCTGGAGTCTGCTCAGGGTTTGGAGGGACAGAGGGCAGCTTCTGAGGGCCTGGTGAGCTGGAGAAATGGCTGGGAGGTACCTTGGGGGTGCCCCCTGTGCTCTACTGGCAAGGCCTGTGGTGTCTGCGAAGGTGAACACATGGGCACACACAGTCATAAGATGGCATTTGCTGGTTTGAAGGAGATCGTGGAGGCAGCGTCCCCACATAGTCTCCTCTGCCCTGACTTTGGCACCGGAGAGGAAAGGGTGGGGTGTGCCCAGGGGTTCAGGACCAGCCCCGCCTCGTGGTCCCAGCAGCAGAGGTCGGGTGAGGGCATAACTGCATTCAGTGACCTCCACCCCCAGCCAAGTGGAATTCCAGATCCCACTAAGAGAGTGTCTCCAAGAACACACCACAGACCTGAGTGTCTTCAAGACAAAGAAAGGTGCCAGCTCTCCCAGCGGCAGCCAGGTTAGGGCATCTCCCCGGATTTTTGGAGGGGTCTCCTTGCTCTGATGGAGATAGAAGCCTCCAGGCCAGAGACTGGCCCTGCTGTCCACTCCAGCTCCCCAATTCCAGCTGGTTTTTACAAACACCATGAACCTCTGGGCCTTCTGCTGTTTTGGGCCTGACTCCTATTTCTCATTAAGCACTAAAGGTCTGAGTTTCATAACGCAGTTGGCACACATTTTTTCCTTCTTCATAAACATGCTCATGAATGAGGACTCTGTTCTCCCCCATCTGCGTCCAGACCCCCTGCCTGCCCCACATCACCCAGCTGCCAGGGCACAGGTGGGGGTCGGGGCCATCGCCAAGGGCCCAGGACAGTCAGGGCAAGCCAGGAGGGGTTCTGGATGGGGCTAGGCAGAGGAGCAGCTCACGCCCAGCCCCAAAACCTCCACAAAATGGGATTATGCTTCCAGCAGCCTCTTCCACCTTGGGGGAGCGCAACACAATTTGGGCCTGATAACTGTGTTTTCCCAACAACTTCCCTCCCCACACCCAGCGGGCTGCTTCAGTTGCTGGCTCATTGGAGGCCTCAAACTGGTTGGACCCAAACACCCCCAGCTGCTCAAAGGGCTCCAAAGTGAGATACATCAGGAAAGGCACAGACTCAGAGTCAGACCGTGCTAGGTTCCAGTCCCACCTGTGCCACATACTAGTTGTGACCTTGGAAGATTGGTCATCTTCTCTGAGCCTCTGGTCCCAGGCTGGGAGGTGGCACAAGTATGGCTGCATCTGGCATTGGGAAAGAGATGGGAGGGGCCAGCCCTGAGTGCCTGGCACAGAGCAGACATCTCTGCGAGGTGAACACCTGGCCCACGGGAGTAGCCACCATTTATGACGCAGCTGTGTTCCCGCCACTTGACCATACTATTGAGGGCGAGATGCGTCATTGATTCCCTAACAGTGCTTTGAAGGATAAAAGCCACATGGCATTCATCGCACACTGGATTGCAGGAAACTTGCATCTCAGCGTTGAGGAAATGCAGCCGCAGGCCTGAGCTGCTGTGGAACTGTGGCCAGTGTTCTTGGCTCCTCTGGGCTTCAGGTTTCGCGTCTGTAAAATGCGTGTCTTCTCGGAGGACTGATCAGTTGCCGCGTGTTCCCACAGGAAGGTCCCTGCATCATTAGAATTTGACACTTTTGAAAAGTAACCTAAGTTGCAAAAATTTCCTGGAGATCCTTGAAAAGGAAAACTATTCCAAATGCAGGTCGAGGCTGATGTGGAAAAAAAATCACCGCGTGAGGTGCAGGCGGGGTGGGGTGATGAAAAGAACGCAGATTCGGGAGGCGAAGAAGAGCTTTGGGATTTGTAGTCATTTAGAGTCCAGCTCTTTTCCTGCTGGGCACCTGTGTGTGATTCACACCTTCATTTATCCACCTATTTATTCATTCTTTCATCCAGCTTTTGTTGCATACCTACGCCAGGCCAGACTTTACGCCAAATACCATACTTGTCCCTGTACTCAGTCCCTCTGAACCTAAGTATTGCCAAGTGCTAAGAGCAGTGACATCAAGGGCTCAGCGGGGCTGCTGTAGAGCTCAGATGGGCAGAGTGTGGAACTGCGGCACACTGGGGCCACAGGGGTAGGACGCGCTTCTGATCGGCTCCCATCTACTGCTGGGGACTCTTCGCAAACGTTAGATTTTAAAAGAGCCCTTGATGGGCTGCAGCTCAGCTGGAAGAGGCCCCTCCCTTGGGGAACTTCAGGGAAATGCAGATGAATTTGGGGTTGTCCTAATGACCGGGAGACAGGGCCAGGGGACTTATCTGCAGTAGTTCCGCTCACTGCAATTTCTTCTTCCAAGGTTCAAGCCATTCTCCTGCCTCAGCCTCCCCAGTAGGTAGAATCACAGGTGCCCGCCACCAAGCCCAGCTAATTTTTGTATTTTTAGTAGAGACGGGGTTTTGCCATGTTGGCCAGGCTGGTCTCGAACTCCTGACCTCAAGTAATCTGCCCACTTTAGCCTCCCAAAGATTACAGGTGTGAACCACTGTGCCCAGCCTGTTTTGTAATTTTTAAAAAGTCTGTGATTCTTCTAGGTAGTTCTTTCTTATATGTACTTACTTTTTCTTTTTCTTTTTCTTTTTTTTTTGCGATGGAGTCTCGCTCTGTCGCCCAGGCTGCAGTGCAGTGGTGCGATCTCAGCTCACTGCAACCTCTGCCTCGCAGGTTCAAGCCATTCTCCTGCCTCAACCTCCCCAGTAGCTGGGATTACAGGCGTCTACCACCTAGCCCGGCTAATTTTTGTGTTTTTTAGTAGAGACAGGATTTCGCCACATTGGCCAGGCTGGTCTTGAACTCTTGACCTCAAGTGATCTGCCCACCTCGGCCTCCCAAAGTGCTAGGATTACAGGCATGAGCCACCATGCCCATCCTGTTTGGAAACTTAAAACTGCTCATTCCTGGAGCACATGGTAACTCTGTAGAAACTCAAAGGTCCCTGGAGCATTTAAGGCTAGCAGATCTGCTGTGGGGCCTGGGAAGGTCCCGGATGGGATGACCGCACAGGTGGAGAGAGAGGGAGTTTTCCTGAGGTATCCCAGCCTCAGGGGTAACAGCCGCTGTTTTTCAGCCTGGGATCAAATCCCCGGACCAGTTGGTTTGTCTTTAAAGGGAGCAGATACTTCTGGATGTCGCATAGTGGGAGCAAAGTGGTCTGAATGTGCTCCCGCATGAGCCTTGTCATGCCCCAGGCCTTCCCAAGCATGAGGCCACCCTGAGGCCACCACATTCTGCCCACACTTTGTGGGAGATTGTGTGAGTCAGGAAAAGCAGCGAGGCTGGCAGGAAGCGTCCTGTCCACAGGGCAGCACAGGGCTCTAGGTGAGGTGGCATCTTCTGAACTGGGTTAAAATCCCAACGGAGCTGCGTGAGG